TGTTCAAACATTCTGTTTGACCGACTCAGCACTTTCCTTTAGTCAAGGTCTTATTTGCAATAACACTAAAGTGCTAATGCTCACCGCGAATAGCCTGAAGACAAGCTCCACGGAGCAACCTTCTCAAGTGTGTTTCACAGCTTCTTCCCACTGTGGTAAGCTGTGTGAACCCTACGGGGCGCCGTTACCGAGAGAACCTTCTCACTCCTCACCGTGGGAGAAATTTCTCTGACTTTTTCTGAAGTTCTACCGACTGACTTTTCCTGTTTGAAATCAGCTTACTTGAATCGTCTCACCTCGTACACGTGAATTTCACTGCAGCGTTCACTGAAATACTTACTGAATCTCACTGCAGAGTTCCACTGAATCATGTTTCACCCGGGAGATGTCTTTACCACTTTTTCAAGTTCCAGTTTCAATTTTTTTTGACAAAGCGCCGATTCGGCTTCTCGGACAGTGCCTACGGGAAACTGCCGTTCGCTCGCAAGAGCATCCATGGACCTTGAGTCCGTTTACCCTACCCTGCACCCCCTGCACCTTTGCTTGTCTTTCCTTGCCTTTTCGCTTGTCTTGTTCCTTCCTTCAGGCTTTTTAGGCATGATCCAGGCTCGTTTGGTCAACGCACGCCCTGCCCCCCCCCCGCACCCCCTCCACCTTTCTGTCTTGTTCTTTTCTTCAGGCTGGTTAGGTGGCAACCAGGCTCGTTTAGTCAATGCACGCCCGAACACCCCTTCACCCCCTGGCGGAGAAAAAGAAAAAAGAAAAAGGAAAAAAGAACAAGAAAAAAGACAAGGACCAATGACTGAATCAGCAAAACGAAGCACAGTTAGCGCTGCAGCATTGCAGCCGTTCAAAAAAGACAGTTTGCGTTGAGTTATGTCTTGAATAGTACTAGATGCGCCGTCTCGGCTTCTTGTGTGTGTTAACCCCTGCTTCGAAAGGAACTAGCCTATCTATCTATTTCTCGTGTACTCTATTTCGCTGAGTTGCACTTTGTACAACAGCAGCAGGGGGGCGTGAATCTCACTCCATCCACTGCCCAACGAAGACGGTGGTCTGAGATTGTGAAATGACCCCGGGACGCCGGAGTCACGTACCTGCCGAATTGTTTAAATCGATTTCTCAACGATTTGTTCAAACATTCTGGTCGACCGACTCAGCACTTTCCTTTAGTCAAGGTCTAATTTACAGTAACACTAAAGTGCTAATGCTCACCGCGATGTTCAAACATTCTGTTTGACCGACTCAGCACTTTCCTTTAGTCAAGGTCTTATTTGCAATAACACTAAAGTGCTAATGCTCACCGCGAATAGCCTGAAGACAAGCTCCACGGAGCAACCTTCTCAAGTGTGTGTGTGTGTGTGTGTGTGTGCGGTCCAGTATTGTCTTGGAAAAATGTTGTTACCGCCATCTGCGGCCTGTCTGCATATCCTTGAGACTTTAGATGTTCAAGTCAAAACCTATCAGCCTATCACCTAACTTGCTTCTTGGCATTTGTCGGGCGGGAGAATGCGAACCTGGCAACAAAAGGAACCACCGGACCTGTGACCAAATGGCAAATGAGCTCGTCAAAACTCCAAAAGGAAACTAAGGAAACCAATGCAAAACCTTTATAACTTACAACTGAAATAACTTTGAAATACCTCAATCACAAGGGACAACCAAGTGCCCACCACAAAGCCCAGGAAACAACGATGAACGCATCGTTGTCACGCGTCGCGGATGTTGCACATCGCATTCCGTCACGCGGCTGACATCAATAGCTCCTCCAGACTCCAAAGCAACAGTGGTGTGCCCATCCTCTGTGACAGGAGTTCCCGCTGCATGAACGACCTGTCCAGGCCTGACCTGGGTGCACTAGGCAAAAAGTACTTCATTAAAGTCTGAAGCAATTCAAATGTTAAGAAACTCTGATGCGATGAAATGTTTCTTGCAGATTCTCGCGGTGAGTTGGTTTCCAGCCCCAAGACAGCTGACTTTCCAAGCATTCATAGCATATGTTGATGTGAAATCTGGACATGCAGTCGCTAGATGTTCCCAAAACGTGCAAAGGCCGAGGCCTCTGAGACTTCTTGCCCCCAAACTACGCCATGCTGGTCGGTGTTATAGACGGGACCAGCTCGTACAACCTACCGGCTGTGGAAGCGAAGCGCCAACCATCACATGTCCGCAGAAACGGTCTCAGGCCACTGTCCTATTCTGTTGTCTTCCTATTCATTACCAAAAAATGAGAACACTGGTCTCAGCAGGAGTGGCTCATTTGGGAAACAACTACATGAAGCACATGCATCAAGCCAGAGCATGACCCAACAAAAATGTCCAATGCCTTGTATCACCTAAGGATGGGACTATCCCTGCACAAAGCATCCATATGCTGATGAAGACTTGTTTCACTACTTAGTGACAATATGTGTGTGTCTCTGATGCATTGCCACTGCAAAGTACTGGGGTTTTGGCACTGATACCTAACAAAGTTTGTTTCGATTAGGCCAGGATAGGCCAGAAAACATGTCTCTACCCCCTTGTTCAGTTCAGCGGGCAAGCCGATCCGAGGTTCAAAGCTCTGCAGCGTTCTCTGAATTGTTGAGGTCGTTAGCACAAGTGGGAACCCGAAAAATCACGACAAATGGACACTGTCGGACTAGTTGCAAGTGCACGCCCA